GTAGCTAGCGATAGGACAAGAGGGAATGGGCTCAAGCTGCGTCAGGGGAGCTTTAGGTTGGATATTAGGAAAGACTTCTTCACGGAAAGGGTAGTCAAGCATTGGAACAGGCTGCCCAGAGAGGTAGTGGAGTCCCCATCCCTGGAAGTGTTCAACAAACGGGTAGATGTGGCACTTTGGGACATGGTTTACTCTACCCTTAATTGGTTTAGAGTGGACTTGGTAATGTTAGGTTAATGTTTGGACTGGATGATCTTAAAGGTCTTTTCCAACCTAAACGATTCTATGATCCAAAACTTATTTGTATTTTTCACTTAAAATTAACAGAATAAATACATTACTTTTATGAAGGTAGTGATAGAAGTTTATGTTTGTTTTATGGTGTTAAAATTGCAGTACTTCCTTGAAGCTGAAATGTTGCAAGGATATAATTTTTTTTGTTGTTGGTTTTGCAGTCCTATAAACTGTAGTCATGGAGAATAATAATGTAAAAAGCTTTGGTTTAAATATGAAAACAGTGCTCTGATACATATCAATCAAACTGTAAGACTTCAGGGTTTTTCTTAATACAGTGTGACCACAAATGTCAACACTTAAAGGGTTTGGGGCTTTTTTTTTTTGTTCTTTTTCAAAATAGAAATTCTGGCCTCTACGCAGTTCTACTTAAAGCAACAGCAATTACTGATTTTTTTTTTTTTTTTACTTTTATGTATGAAAGGAATTGCTTTCTTACCACATCCGAACAAGCTGGTTTTCCAATGGCTTTTTTAAATGTACAAGTACCTTATTAGAAAAATTCTATGTATTTCTGGCAGTGGCAGTCTGCAGTTGGTAGTTTTTCCAGTACTGATTTAAATCAGATTGTCAGTAATAGTATGTTTCTTGTGTTCAAAGCAGACATACATGCATGCAGTTGGAAAATGATATACACAAAAGAAACCAATTTTAATTAAAACTTGACTTCCAGACTAGTGCTCTGCAAAGTAATAAATAGATATTAAGGGCTTTCTGTGATGGCTCAGGAGTGACATGACCACATGACATGAGAAGCAATGGCCTTGTATGAAGTTCTGGTTTGCTGAGAACTTTATATTGGTGAACTGTCAGGTCAGGCGGTCCTTCTGAAGGTATCAGAAAGCAGAATAAAAGCAAACATCAAACATTATTTCTTTTAACAGATTTCTCTGTACATCTTAGTGTTAGATTCAGTTATAATACATACTCATTTCATTAAGTGAGGTGGGGACCTAAAATTCACGTATCTGAGAGAGGCTTTATCTGGTAAGGAATTCACGATGGAGATTGTAGCTTAAATTTATATGAAATTGTAATAAGTGGAGACTGTCTTCTGGAATAGGAGAAAAGTTTTACAATGTGCATCTCGGACTCCCCGTCAGGCTTACAAAGCAGATTATAATCCAGCCTTGCTTGTTCATTTTTCTTTCTTTCAAGTCGAAATCTTTTATCAACGTTGCCAAAATACCTGTTTGATCTTCCACTTAAAGTTCTGGTTGTCAGTAATAATAAGCTGGTCTCCATTCCAGAAGAAATTGGAAAGTTGAGAGATCTAATGGAGTTGGTAAGTACAATTGTGAACCATTTAACTAAGTAAATTTAAACTATAAACAATTTATATTTTTCTTACACTGTAAATAAAATTTTTTTTTTAAAATACAGAACTACAAAATGTAAATTCAGTTACTGCTTTTTCTTAGTGTTTGAGCTGGAACTACAGGTATAATGTATTGTAGAGTTTCAAAAATGGGGTTAAAACTAAATCAGTATGTTAGGTTAACTAAAGTGTAATGGGTTCGTAAATAAAACTGCTCTTCAGATTATTTCATTTGAGTCCCTCGTGTGTTATGTTGTTTTTGTGTTTACCTTCCTTACAGTAATCATAATTCTATTTATTTTTCTTGTATGTTATCAGGAATCTTCCTTCCAGCTGAAGAGTTCCTCTCTGCTTACTCTGTACTCTTACACAAGTTGTGCCATTCAATCATTGTCTTGTTATGTGGTTTGGGTTTCCCCCCCATTTCCACTATTCCTTTATTTTGATTGGTGTGAACAGAATTATATGTGATATTCACAGTTTATGTGTCTGTGCAACATAATTTTTTCCTATGGCATACTAAAAGTTTGTGCTTTGTCATCTATTACTTTTTCTATATTTCTTAATATTCTAGGCTTTTCTCATCAGTAGTCTGCATTAAGCTCATGTGTTTTGGAGAACTATGCTCAATTATTCACCAACCTGGCACTTGGACTAGGTTTGATTTTTGTGTGTGGTGTTTCCCCCTGCCCCTCTGTCCCCCAGTATGTATGATTTCTTTGGTCATTGCAAGCAATCCTTGCCCTGTTTCCAGTCTAGCTGTGTATGCCCTGGAGATTTCTTTAAACATGACCTAATTTCTGAGCTATAAACCAACATTCTGTTTTAATTTACAAGTAATATGAGATATTCTGAATGTTTGTGAGGTTTTTCTAGTGTCCTCTACTCGTTGGTGAGAAATTCTTTATGCTCGCTTCAACATCATAGGATTTCAAGGTGGGATCACTGCTATTTTTTACAGGAAGTGAATATTTTTCAGAATTGCAGTTCTTTGGCTTATGTTTCAAAATTGTCAAACCTAGAATGCGTGCTCGATGACACAGATTAAGGACATACTAGGGAGTTTCATTGCAGTACCTGTGTTATACCTGTTTAGAACATAAGTAATACATATACATTAAAAAAAAATTGTCTCGTCTCTGTCTCGTCTCTGTCTCGTCTCTGTCTCGTCTCTGTCTCGTCTCTGTCTCGTCTCTGTCTCGTCTCTGTCTCGTCTCTTTCTCGTAGCTTTATTGAATTGGAGATCTGTCTCGTCTCTGCCTCTTCTCTGCCTGTTCTCTGTCTCGTCTCTGTCTCGTCTCTGTCTCGTCTCTGTCTCGTCTCTGTCTCGTCTCTGTCTCGTCTCTGTCTCGTCTCTGTCTCGTCTCTGTCATTGTTATCTAGTCTAGGAAACTAGTCTCCTGAAGTCAGTTTTATTGAATTGGAGATAAAAAAGGTTAGAAACAGTAATATCAATGTGATGACTCAGTCCGGACTACATAAATGTTAAATTGGTGGCAGAAATAGCTGTAGTCTCTGTTCACTTGGTGCAGCTTTGTCACCCTCTAGTGTTTGTATCCAAAAAGTTGGTGAGCCTGCTATTGCTCTGTGAAAGTTTTTAGTTGCATGGATTGGTTCAAGATTTTTTTTAAGGAAGGAGAATTTTTATAAAAGGAACAGAATGCAAATCATTTGCCAGCAGTAGCACAAGAGGTTTTTCAGTGATGTGGGAACTACACCAGGAACTCCTGATTCCTAGGCTACAGTTTTAATCTCAAAACCAGTCTTTCATCATTCATTTTTGAATTGAGTTTCTGAAACATGAATCACTAAATACTGAATAAACAGTGAGATCTGTTATGGTACTTCTTCCCTTTGTGGAAAAACCAAGAAAGATAGGATTTTTTTTTTTTTAATAGTATGCTTTATAGTAGTTTTGATAGCAGTTTTCCTTTGTTTAAGTTCATTGGAGATGTTCAGTTAATTTATTAATTACATCTTTCTTAGGATATTAGCTGCAATGAACTTCAGGTTCTTCCCCAGCAGATAGGAAAATTGCAGTCACTTAGAGAATTAAACATAAGAAGAAATAATCTCCATATGTTGCCAGATGGTAAGCTACTAGTCTTCATTTCTTTGATGTAGGTAAACTAGGTAAAAATCAGATATCTTCTTAATACTTTTTTATTTGTTTGTTTCCCCCAATGCAGAATTAGGAGACCTTCCCTTGGTAAAGCTGGATTTTTCTTGTAATAAAATTACAGAAATTCCAATTTGTTACAGAAAGTTACGTCACTTACAAGTTATAGTTTTGGATAACAATCCAATGCAGATACCACCAGCACAGGTTAGTATTAAAGCATTCTAGTTCAGATATTTGCATTAGAATCTTAAAGAGGAAGCTGTTCTAATTTATACCAATCAAGTTTTCATTTTTTTTAGCTGTATTTCTCCTAGTGGGAAGTTGTGGGTACAAACTCAGTGTAGAAGTATTTGCTGGGGTGCATTTTCAAAAGACATGTTATGTAATTAAGATTTTTTTTTTGTTCTTTTGTTTCCCAATAGATATGTTTAAAGGGTAAAGTACATATATTTAAATTCCTCAGCATTCAGGCGTGCCTCAGAATAGATAAAAAACCAGATTCTTTGGATCTGCCGTCATTAGGTAAACGAATCCCCTCCCAGCCACTCACAGACAGGTGAGTATTGGGTTTTTAATTTTATTTTGCTTTAGCATTTGCTATGAAGCAAATCTGTTTGTTAGAGATAATAGCTGTAATTTCAGTACTTTAATTATTCTTTATGTAGGAGTCATGTATTTATTTTCTAAGATTGTGTTACTGGAAGCCTAATTAGCTCATCTGAGTTGCTATGAAAAATTTTCATTGTATTTGCAAAAGTTTTGGAAATCAGAACAAAGATGTATTTTAAATTTATTTATTGGAAAACTTAGCTGTTTATTTCCTGAACAGATAGGTCAAAACAGTCATGAGAAGTTCCCATAAATGTTCTGAATATAGAGTTAGTCTGTTGGATGGAAAGTGTGCCTCCCACATATATATTACGGGAAACTAACTTAAATATCAGTGAAGTACCTTGAATTTTTTTGTTAGATTAGTCAAGGGCAAAAAGGGCAGAGTATTTTTTTTTTTTTTTTTTTTTTTGTACTTCTGTACTAAGTACCTTTTGAGTAATTAAATGGGAATACCTTTGTATTTTCTGTCGTCAGTTGGCTTGCCATTGGAAACCATATGGAACAATACTCTCTTTTTGCCTATTTTCTTAGAATGTCACATGCAACTTGTGCCTCTCTGTGTTCAAGACTGAAGGAAAGATGAAAGCTATGAATAAAGCTTACACAAAACCATCTGAACCATCAGATTCAGTCCATGGTCTTGGTCTCGGGCAACTGTGCCATAGGGAATTAGTCCACAGTATCTGTAGATAGCTTCTACATGCTCCTAAAAAACTGTGGTCCACAACTGCTCCCCAAAAGCCTCCACTGAATTAAGGCCTGCAACTAAAATGTATTGCAGAGGAACAAGGGTCATGGGTATTACCACTGTACGTCATATTTGTAGTAGTGAGAACTTGTTTCATTAAACTTTCCAGATAATCTTATGATGTAAACCAAGCTCCAGTGCACAGTTGGAAAATGCATCCTCCTGATGCTGCCAATTTTATGTCTTCAAAAGGCATAATTTGGAGGAAATATTTCATAGATACTCAGGCAGAGTTAAACCATTATAATATGACAGTCTATTAGGGAATGTACATTCACTACTAATAGAAAACCATGTATGCCAATAGAATTCCAGTAATTGTGGTTTTTCAGAGGAAGTCTTCTTTTCTGAAGATGGTATTTTTGAATGAAATAGAACAGTTCTAAAATTGCGTAGGTACAGAGAGTACTGTAATTGATCATTTCCACTTAACTTTGATACTTTTTTTTCTTGAACAACTCTTGTAGGAGATTACGAATTTGTTCTCTGCACATGGAGCATTGTGCAAAAATTCTGTATCAGCAACTGTAGGCGAGTATAGAGAACATATTTTTAAAAGGATGTTTATTTTCTTTTAGAAAAGTGAAACTACAGTTTCTTTCATTCCTGTGTGGTTTTTTGTGTGTTTTTCTTACTGTAGCATGGAGGACTTCTATCCCAATAAGAATCATGGACCAGACTCCGGCATCGGAAGTGATAATGGGGATAAAAGGTTGTCCACAACAGAAGTGAGTATTTTACACTGTTGAATTTGTGTAATTTCTGGGTTTTAAAACTTCTTTTTCCTTTGTATTTTGTAACATTTGAGAAATACTTAACTAAGTTGCATTTAACATTCTTTGAACATCTGTAGATTTGAGTTTAAACCATTAGACACGAATTATTTACATATTGCTTTGACTTTTCTGGTTAAGGTTCATTCCAGTCCAAATTTCTTATATTTTAAAACTGAATTCTGACCTAAGGAATTGCTTGGATCTTTTAATGTGAGAAGTGCATAATGATTTTCTGCATGAAGGACAAAATTTATTTGAAACTTTCTTTTATTATTAATGAAATGAATGTACTTAAGAAAATGAAAGTTTATTTGGACTAAACTTGAGTGTTGTATGTGTTAGTAATCCTCATTGTTGTTTAAATTTTAATAAACTTCTGGATGATCTGCTAGGTTTAAAGCGATGAACAAAAATCCCTACAAGTTATCTGTTTGTTTGTAGAAATCTAGATTATGGAGCTGTAGTTAATAACAGTGATGTCAAAGCTGAATAGTGTAGAACAAAACATTTTTGAAACTTAGAGAATTATTACAAATGCAGAGTGATTGTTAGTAGGAAAACTGTAGAACAAGGAGTATTACTAGTTGGGTTTTTTAAAGAAAACTCCAAATGATTAGAAGTAAAACTGTGATTTCCCACCAACTC